CACACACACACACACACACACACACACACACACACACACACACACACGGGGGCAGAGGGGAAACTGTTCAAGCCACAGATAAAACTAACTATCTTAAGACACAGCTGCAGTCTGTGTGCTGCAAAAGTACCAAATGGTTTATTAAAAAAGTATTTATTATTCAACAGGTCTCAGATGTTTGACTTGGAGCGTGAATAACAAATGAAAGGAAGCACCTTTGCATGAAGCAGGTCACCTCTGTGATTTAACCCGTTGCAGTAAAAAGCAGCACCACACCCATGGCCTTCAAAGTCTGTAAACAGCCCACCATGTGTCGTGTCCTCCTCCTATTCCCTCTCCTTGCCTCATATAGGCCACAGGGCCTGCCAGTGCAGGAAAAAACTAGCCAACGGCAGCGTGCCATATACATGACCGGCCAATTGGAAAAGAGCAGAAAAATGAGAAGGCAGGAAAAAGTCGGAGCAGTTTGCCAAGGCGAGAGTTGCAAAACAAGCAGCACATAATGCAGCCAAGCTAACACAGTTTTGTTGTTTTTACCTCTGCAGGGATCATGTGCCTGTGTGACACAAACTTCAACTGCTAAAGAAGTTATTTTCTTAAAAGTTCTAAAACCGTCTGTGTGTCACGATTGGTCTCATAAAGCTGCAGCAACAAGCTCACTCAACAAAATGAAGACCAAACCACACAACAGTGTCATGGTGGCTTTCAAAACCGCCCCCACATTTCACCAGTTCCTCAACACACACAGACAGATGCAGAACAGCCAAGGGCCTCTGAACATGAACAGCAGTGTTATGGTGTTATGGTCTCGATACAGTAGCAGGGTTTATGAATGAGGGGGGGGGTCAGTGGAGCACATTCCTCCTGAGGGACAATCCTAGATTTCATAACTGTAAGTACGCAGTAATGTATTTTGGGGGGACATCTGTCAAATACAGCAGCATTTTTTAAAGTCCCCCTCCACCTCATAAAACCAGTTGCACTTCTTTGTGCGGCGTTTGACACTGAAAAATTGTTTTCGCATTTGTCTGCTGGAAGGGGAAAGTTTCTCTGCACTCACATTAAATCTAAGATTGAGGTGTGTACATATGACCAGGATATTCAACAGCAGCTGGGTGCAGCAGGCAAACTTTTAATGACCACAATATTTGCATTTCACATAAATTCTTGTTGTTTACAAGTTTTAACTCAAAGACCCAAATCATTATTTAGAGCAGAGTATTCACATGTTTTAAAGCAGCAACACATTTTTCTGCAGATGACACAGATTTGTTTTGCAGGTCTACTGTCAAAATCCTCAACAAACTCACAAAGTGTTTGGATTTAGATTCAGTCAAACCTTTGACCAAAGTTTTCTCAATCTCAGTTGAACATCCTGGTTAAATAAAAAAAGATATTTCTCTGTCTACCCATGCACAGAGACACATAAGCAAAAATGTGTGACATCCTGTAAAAAGGTCAAGCAAGCATCTGCTAAATAATATAGGGGACAGACAACCGCTCTACTGTGTACGGACTTGTGGGGATTATCTGTCGGAGGAGAAAAGGGCGGGGACGTCCTGAGGTTTAACTGTCATTTCATTTGAGGAGACTGTGACAGAGCTTAACTTGAAAACACGTTTCAGACACATCGCCTAAACGCGTGCGCCTAATGCGGATTAATGCTAATGTACAACAGTGACATTGTAAGCTGGGACCTGGCCGCACATGCTCCACAAATACAAGTACAAGGGTTGCCACTTGTGAAAGACGGTTACAACTTGTTTTTATCAACGCAGCAATGCGTTTTGCTGACTGTGCTTCTAGAGTCTTCCCATGTAACAGCAGCAGAGCGTTAACACAGATAAAGTGCACGGGGAGGTACATAGAGAAGATTAGAGCTACTAAGATAAACAGTTAAGAGGCTGATAACGTGCCGTTTTTTTTTTTTATATATATACACAATCAGACAGACTAATTTCCACTCATGTAAAGCAACGCACTACTTTACGGTTTGCTCAGTTTCCAAGCTGAGGAGCTTGATGCCAACGGACAGGACAGTGTGTGCAAACATGTTTTCATGAATGCATGTGAGGGAGAAGGGTTAACAAAAGAGGAGCGGGCAAGACAATAACATGTGTACTCAGCAGGCCACGGAGAGATCTGGCTTGACATCTATGGCAGTGGGTTTCTTCTCAGAAGTTTGTAACTGCATGCGTTTACACAAGGTGGTGTGGAAATGCTCTCACGGTTGGGGCTCTACACAGGATTTACAACCTGCAGCTATGAAGGGCTCTTCTCACAGCACAGACCTGTAAACAGGTTATTTGTGGAGAAAAATTACAAGTTGCTTAGTTCATTGATATAAAATGAATCGAGTCTAATTGTCAGATCTAATTTCAGAGTTTATTAATCTAAATGCACCCTCCCTAAAAAACACAACAGCAAGAGGATTTTGCTTCTAATGACAAACAAAAGCATTTCAGTGTCCTGCACATAGCTGCACCATGGCAAAACTTCATAACTCCAACACTTCAAATATTCATGGAGGGATGTCCACTCGTTGCAGAGGCAACTGCAGGGACGCTCAACTCGACTGGCCCGGTGGCCACTTTTGCAAAATGACAGGAGGCCAGGAGCCAATTAAAAAAGCATTATAAGTTCATTTATAAGATAAAAATGTATGAACATTATCGCTCTTTGAAATTTGCACTCTGGCACTTAATTTACAACTCAAGTACAAAAGAATTCACATAGTAAATCCATTTAATTTTATAGTTAATTAGAAAATGGTCGACGGGCAACATGGCACCCAAATCCAGCCTGTGCCGCCCGTAAACTAAGTATCACATGGGCTACTGTGTGTAAGAACTATTAAGTGTTCAACTGTTTTGTTATGTGTTGCGTTTATGTCACCAAAAGACAAGTTATCATTCTGTAAAACTACTCAAGAACTCTCACACTCAACATGGATGATGGTTTCAGATCTAAAAAAGAAATTCAATGAGGTTTGTTTTTTTAGAGATATTTATTATTTTAAAATAAAGTACTTTGGAATTTTCGGCTGCCGGCCAGACTAGTAATTTTAAGACATTGCTTTAGGCTCTGGCTACTTATCAATAATAAATGCATAATAAACTATAATCAAATGACCCCAAAACAGAAGTCTGTAAAGCCTGATGATTTTGGGAAGATCCATGTTTGAAAAGACATGTGTGCCATACAATGTACGGTTTACATATTTCTCATACTGTTGACCCACAATGTATAGAGGAGACCAAGCACAGACAATAGAGTCTTTGACAGCGTGTGTGACCACCCCATCAACAGAGCCCGCTCAATCAAGCGTGGGGTCGTTGAGAAAAGACGGATAAGTCCACACAGACAAGCCCATCTGTGCACTATAGCACAGGCTGCTTTTACGCGCACTGCCATAACGCACCCGTTTAACAAACCACGTGGTGTCTCAAACGCACTGTGTCCTACCTCCGTGTAACCTGATGTGAATCAGTTGTGTCTGACAACACAAACCAAGGTTGTAATGTTTGCGTTTAAATGCCACTCACACCTGTGAACTATCCGTTTGATACATCACAGCTGATCTCGCGGTGCTAACAATACATTATGTAACCTTTAAATACACAGCAAGAGAGCGCTTATGTAAGGCTCTATTGGCTCTTATAGTAGGCTATACATGTCGACGTCATCGCTAGGCTGAGCGAGGAAAGCAATCCAGGGTGCCATGGGATCAAATATCATTCAAATAAAGCCACCGTCTAATGATTATATCATTATTCAGACATGGGGCGTTTAAGGGACGCGTGTTTGATTGAGAAATCATTATTTAATCGTCGGCGCTGCAAGGATCGTTCGGTTTAAATCAAACTTGCTTCCTGTTTTTGTATTTGCCCATGACGAAACTGACCACCATTGTGTTGTTTTGTTTATCAACAAATATATAACTATGCATAAAAGGGGGCGTGTAACGTTATATGCGCTGCATCTGGCTCTAAATAACCGTTAAAATACACTGGCTAACACACAAAGTGTTGACACACAAGTAGGTGATTGAGGAAGCATAACATCTTGCAAATGCACGATCGAGAAAAATAAAAATAAAAAATCAGGAAGCAAGACAGCTCAATCTTACTCATCCATACTCTTGTTTAACACCGTACTAGAACAGCAAAGATACGTCTGTGTATAAAATTACACTCAGCAGGCTGCGCCAGTGTGTGCAAACAACGACTTGTCAAGGCGGAAGTGAGCGTTGTGAGCTCGTCCAATCAGAAACGTGAAAGGGTTAAATGTAAAAGCAGTCCAACAACAAACACCCTAACAAAGCCTAAAAAGAACAACACTTCCAAAAGGAGTTCGGTTGTACGTGCAGCGTCGTATGTGCAAATATGCGTCCGTGCGCAGTGATTGTTGCACCAATGCACGTTGTAAGTGTCTGTGACGGAGCACATGTTGGGGCATGGCGTTGCAGCCCATCCCATGCAGGGACAATAGACCTGGGAGAGGACGCCAGCAGGCCCTCGGCTGCTCGGTGACACTCTGCACCGATGCACGCGACACAAAGTGGGGCCGAGTTCATTAACTCACCGTCGACTTTTGGAGCGGAGGACCACGTATCCACTTCGGTCGCCATGGCGCTCTCCAAATGCTCGATTAGAAATCCTCACGGTGGGCTTCTCCTGTCGAGCTTCAGCTGCCACAAATTGCCCCCCCCAAAAAATTAGCAGTCAAACGTCTGCAGAACGAGGTATTTCAACAGTCTTTTGACAAATGACACGTGCTGGAGTGGAAAATCGCGAGTCCAGTCGCCTATTTTTCGTGCAGCACGGGATCAATGGCAGAAAACACACAAAAAAATAATTAAATTGAATTACAAAGAGAGGAAATACTATATAAATGAGGAGTGAGGGTTTCGTACTCTTCTCAGCGTTTACGGCTGAGGCGAGTCAATAACGCTGAGCGTGGAAAGGAAAGTAGGTTAAACTAGTCGGAGAGCATTTCAGCAAACAACCTGCAAGATAAACAAAGTCTGTTTTTAACTTTGCAAGAGCGAACGGAGCAAAGTCACGTGAACAAAGCTCGGATGGGGAGTGGTCAGTAGAGGGGGTGGGTGCTGGTCGTCTCTGACCAATCACAGAGCAGGACGGGAACAACACCAATGTAAAGCTTTTTTGCTATGTTATTAGAAGGACAAGCATTAACACAAGTATGTACATCTATATAATTATTATTTTGCCAAGTAATGTTTTACTTAATATATGCCAGTTTATGACCCCAAACATAACATTGAATTAGTCTGTTCAAGAACTATTATGCTTTTTGTAGACATTGCTGCAAAGACTGTTGCTACTGGATGTGTTTGTTTGTTGGCTTTATCTTACATTACGCGTTTGCAAATCTTATTTGTTTTATACAATAAATAGTTCGAGCCTAGGAGTTTGAGATGTTCCTAATTTCTATCTGGTTGGGGACTTCTAAATGTCGCATGTCATTTCCAGCTCACTAGTGTCTTCTATCTAATAAAGGCAAACATGGCATGCAAATACTTCAAAAGGAAATAAATAAGATTAAAAAATGTTTCTGCTTAATTTTAAGGGAGTAATAAAGGTAAACTTGGCAAAAACCTTATCATCTTTATTGAAGTATTTTTGTCATCCAAATTTACACCACCAGATGGAGCTGAAAACATGTGCAGCTAAATTTGATGATGGCCAATCAGCATTTAGGTGCCCTTGGTATTTAACAGCAAACTATCTGTTTCTAACCAAGTCCTGTAAATGTGGGCCACTGGTTCCTTTTTTCATCTGCCTAAGAAAAGTCCCATGACAGTTAACACACGAAAACATACCAGGCTTACAATAATCATGGCGTAAAAATGGTCATTTAGGCCAATATTAACCCCTGATTCTTCCACTGTTTGAGCAATCCGTACAGATTTTCTCGGCTTCCTGTGTGGTAATGTGATTAAGCACATATTTATATAGGAATATGCATCAAGACTGAAATAATGAAGGTCTTGAAAATACATCTTGACACAGGGATCCCTCTACAAGGATTATGGAATAGGATACATTTAAATCTGGAGCTTTTGTAGCCCCCCCTATGGTTAGGAAGGCCCAGGGCAGTTAATCACTTTGCCTGTTTGGCAATCTAGCCTTGATGATAATAAGTAGGCAGGACAGTAAATTCCTGGACTTTTTCTGCTCTGCTCATCTCATTGGAGTGAGAGGAACAGTGCGAACGGACGGGTTTTGTCAAGGCATATGGCAGTGGTTGATATATTGCAAGCATGTTTGACAACAAACAACTGCTGATATTCTCCTACTGCATGTTGTATTTGTCATCACTGATGCACAGGTCTGTCAGCTACACACAATCACACATTTCAAACTCTTTTTTTTGCGTTTTACTTGTGAAAAGGTAAAGCTTTCAGAGTGAGTGCAGCCTGATGATTCATCCTGAGTCACAGTGACAGCTACTCATGAGTGGGTGTTTTTTTAGCTCATTCCCTGCTTAGATAAGTCGGTGGATTTGCTGTATTTCAAAGCAGAATATTGTTTGTACCCCCAGCATCTACAACGAGAGATGTGTAGAATGTTCACAAAAGTACAGACATGTATTTGGTAGCGCTTGTTAGCATTTATTTTGACACAAAATCCACAGTTTTTGTTGAATAAAGTAGAGCAAATGTCTGTGGTCAACAAGGTAGAATTCCCAATGATCATCAATGAAAAACCTCAAATGGAAGAAACCTAAATACAACCCGACCTTCTGGGGGGAAAAAGCACCAAAACAAATATATCTAAAAATGTGAGAGCATCTCAATGTTTGGATTTTACATCAAAGTATGCATCATACATCTCTATGCTATACACCAAGATACCAAATTAACTTGATATTCATGATGAATTAAAAATGTTTGGATATATATATATTGACAGATACCAACAACAATCAACTTTGTCGCTTACAACATAGTACGCGACAGTGATTTAACAACACAACACGGCCGACGATAACTCTCTCACACATGCGTACAACACACTGAAGAGCTGCAGGTAGAATTGCACAAGGAAACCCTCAAAAGAACACCACAATTTGAAGCAATAATAATCTGAACTATTCCACATACAATCTAATAAAGATACTTCTATAAATCCCGCTGTCTCAAAGCTGCAGGAGTAAAAGGAGCAACACATTGTTTCCTGCAAACAAGGTTTGATATTACGTTTTTTTTTTCCTGGCAAACACTTTCAGCCGTACCAAGGTGGGCTCTGTTGTTTTTTTTTCAATTCCTTAATTCTTGGCATTACAAAATAAAAGTCAGTAGAAATATATAGTAAATACTATCTTGACAAGGAGAAGTAAACAGTCCTTTGCAGTCAAAACTCAGCGAGGTAACAGTCTTATATCAGGCCTTGGCCTTCTGTTTCAATGAGGGTTGAGTTTGGGCATTTAGTCTGTACTAGCTGCTGACAATGCAAAAGAATATCAAACTAGTTCTATATACACTGAACTCAGATCAGTTTGGCTTCAATATAAAATCAGAGCTGGGTTAAAACTAGACTGTTTGTGCCACGGGTGTCTTGACTACATTCACGTCACAGAGCTAACCATCTGCAATCTGCAAATACATTCTCAAACAAAACAAACAAAAAGTCCAAAAAATAAATCAATAAGTAATCTTTTCAATTACTTATTAAAGACTTTAATGTCTACAATGAAATTCACAAATCACTGACAAAACATGCACTGTATAAAAGTGGAGAACTCTTCCATTCTAAATGTAGTCATTTGCATTAGCCAATATTTAATGGTTTTGTTGAGCCATTTTATGGGAAATTGTTACAAATCATCATGGTATGTATATAATATATATAAAAAATGGAACTCACTTTCTATTTCCTGCAAATCCAGCTCCCACAAGTGTTTCCCTCCTGAACATTGTTGAATGTGCAACATATTTGGCCTCAATAAAAACAAGATGTAACATATGGTTCAAGACCAAAGAAAACAAATAAATAGAAAGAAACATCAATATAGAAAAATGAACAGATAAAAAAACTTTATGGTTGATGTCATACAATTGGAGCAAGGACAAACGTTTTTCCAACTACTGTTTTTTGTGGAATAGGAAACAGAGTTGCAATTGAGAAATGGCTTCAAAAACATTTATATCATATTTTAAATCCAAATGGACAGAGGAGTCCAGATGAATCTGGAAATACCTTCGTAATAGATATTTACCTCTGTGACCCAAATGTAATGACAATACAAGAGAGGCACAAACTGGGGCTAAAGTAAAACCAGATAATCTGAGTTTGCACTTGGGAGAAACCTTAAACCAAAGGCATTTAAAATACAGCGATATGTACAATCAAGGGCCTTTGCCCAGCACAGCTCACGGATCAGTTCTAAAGAGGTAAATGTCTTTTTCACAACAGTTCGTTTCCTATCAACCAGCATGAACTAGAGTAAGGAAAAAAGTGTGAATACTATTGCTAAATACTATTTTTGCAAGTCTCACATGTACTACGTACTGTGTATATTTTATAAAGAGACTGCTAAGCACTGTTAAAAAATGTTTGCCTATTTGATGTACGACTATACACAATTTACAGAAAACACACGCACTCGCATAGCAGCAGTAAACTATAGAATGCCGAACAGATAGTCTATTTTCATCTAGGCACCATACACTTTGATAAACATACATTAGCTAGAACTAGTGAAAAAATAACAACTGTCCAATCTTTAGCCAAGATATGTACACAGTAGCCAAAAGGCTTTTATATTGATATGTTCAGAGGGTGAGCAGTCTCTGTCAGAGCATCAGCCACCTCTGGGACACACCTCTGAGTCACTGCAAAAGAGCTCAGATGATCAGAGGATGTCAAAAGTATCTTCATAGCAAACCAAAACCTCCCTATACACACACGATTTGCCTATGACAAATAAGGTATTATCAAGCTGAACCAAGGCAACGTTTTCTGTCCACATAACTATGAAGGAGTTGAAAGCTTTGCCTTCCCTGCGTTAGACAATTAAATTGGCTTTGCACTGAGCCAAGGACACAACGAAGTGGCCTCAATGAACTACGCAGACGTTTGTCTCATAATAGCTACAGCAAGACAAACATGTACAAAAGTGTGATTGGATACATTCTCATTTTCTAAATCTTGCTCTATGCCTCAGTACATTTTGTACTGAGAATAAATTACAAGAGAGTACATGTGTGCTATTGCCACTGCTAACACCAGGATCGACTTGATATAAATCCTAGGAAGTACAGAGTGTCGCTCAAGGTATATCAACTTCACACTGAGGCAGAGACCTCCCTCTACTGAAAGACAAAGTACAACTGGACATCAACTGACAAATGATTTTACATACAAAAACAGGATCGACCGGAATACATTTAGAGAAAAGCATTGAACTCTCAGAAGTGACCACATTTTTAGCCACTAGCGGCATTACTCCGACCTTAAACCATCAGCTCGTACGTTTACATGAACACCTTTGATATCTCACAAACCATACTTGACTCAAGACAGAAATGACAATGGGCACTTCATTTAAAAGTGTCTTCTCAAAATCCACACCTGGCAGATTGAATTGCCTTGCTGCATTTTTAAGCACTTTTCCAGAGGTTCTCAGTCAAGCGATAAAAATTCATCGTAAACAATTTAAGTGTATCATTTTGTTGTGATGCATAAACCTTTTACATTCATAATCAGCGATGAGATTAGGTTTAATGTTTCTGCCTTGTAAAAACTCAATGGAGGAATCAGATTTACATTGCCTTGCAAAAATGGCAACAACCAACCAGGAACATGTTCAAACACATTAAATCTAAAGTCAAACAGTCAGTTTCACTGTACTGTATAATCATGTAACAGACTGAAACAACAATGTATAATCAATACCATTGTAAAGCTTTGCCACCCACACATTAACATTAAAGTTTGCACCCCTTTTCCTTTAGGGAGCAACATAAGACAAAATGTATAAAACACACACTTCTTGAATCAGTTATAACTGTTCCCTTCTTATATCCTTAAAACAGAGGGAAGTAGGCTAGTGAAAGCAAAGATTCACCCTACAACGAAAAAGGTCACAGGTTAATCAAGTCTTGTTCAATGGTTGTGAAACTCTTCAACAGATAGAATACAGTTGATTAAGGTTATACAACATGATCCAGACACAATTAGTTAGAGCTGCTCTTTTGAAAATGAATCGTTCAGATTATTCTTACATTTATTTCAATTAAAATAAGATTTTTAGCACAGTCTGTGACCCCATCACACATTGCATAATGTCAAAAAAACATTGTGAGCAGGGCAGCTAAAGATGAATTTTTGCTTCTCAGATCGTTTCATTTGAAGAATTTTTAAATGCCCACAGAGGTAAAACTATCCACAATTTTACATTAAAAAAAGCCAAAAATAGAGAAGCATTATCTTATAATTTAACTTTCTTAAACTGGATGTTGACACAGTGCCACTGGTAAAAATGGATTTGGTTAGCATGGAAACAGAGAAGAAGCAATTCATTAGCATTTTCATCACTTAAGAGAAAAAGGATACGCCTTCTCCCGAAACCATATATAAATTAACTACAAAGTAGAACTTTCCTGTGTCGGCTTCTCTTGGAGTTTCTCATTTGAATACAGAGAAAACGAGAATCGATCACACATCCTCTCCCCAACTATCTAAAGTAAGACCTACAAGACCTTTCACCTACTAGTCTTGATCTGTGACGAGCGCCATCAAGCAGAAACATCTCACTTTTTCCACTTGTTTGACTACATCTCACAGGCTGTAAGCTTACGAGGACTCCACGGTGATGATGGCCTCGCCTGTCTTCTGGTTGATACTGGAGGATGAAGAGATGCGGCCACGCTGTTCAGCGCGGTCGTCCAGTAGTGGTGGCTGAGCAGAGGCCTTCGCTCTGAGGGAACAGTCCATGCTGTCGTGCAGCACGTCTGCACTCTCCTCTTCCTTCACAGCCTCTTTTCCTCCTTTCCCAAAATGCCCCTTGCGGAGTTCCTCTTCCTCTTGTTCCTCTCGCTTCACATGGCAACGGCATACCTCGATGCCCGAGTCACCCGTTAGCCGTCGATGCCGGAAATGATCCTCCTCGTCATCTTCTTCTTCTTCCTCTTCTCGTTTTTGCTCTTCTTTGTTGTGGCAATGTGTGAAAACAGCCACATTTGAGGGGAAATGGGCCTGTTTAGGGGGAGACAGAGTGGACCTGGGGGTTGGACCACAAGGTGGGGCCTCTTCTTCTTTCTCTCTCTGAATGGCTACAGCTCCAAGTGGGTCTGAGAGGACGAGAGGATGGACTTGACCAGGAGGAATGGAAGATAACAGAATGAGGGGAGAGAGTGGGAGGCGAGAAGAGTGTGATGGACGAGAGTGTAAAGGAAGAGAGAGAGGTGGAGCTGAAGACGAGAATCCTTCACCGCCGTTAGAGGGCCGTCTTTGTACCGGTATGACATCTGGAGTGGCCGCAGGTATAACATCAGGTGGAACTTGCGATAAAGGTGTCGGGGAAGAAGTTGGTGTGAAGTTGGCCCCAAACCTTGACATGACCACCCAGTCACCCCCTGCTTCACTGGGTGTGGAGATGTGGCTGCTGTCATACGTCTCGTCTGTCACCTGGACAGAGAAGGAGGTGCTGCAGGGGGAAGTGAGGGAGCAAGACTCGCAGGAGCAGCTGGTGTAGTTGTCAGAGCTCTGGGAGGAAGTCAGGCCACTGGGACCGGGGCCCAAATATGGAGGGCAGGGGTGACGGTGGTGGTGATGATGGGAGTAAGAAGAGCTAGGACCCCCCATGGCACCTCCCTGCAGGGCGAAGACAGAGCTGTAAGGCGGAGGAGGGGTGGTGGGCTGCGCCGCCACCTCCTCGTAGGAGGGCAACTTAAACGAAGCCAGAAAACCTGTGACAAAAGAAATATCACAAATCAGCTCAAAAGTACAGCCTGCCACTTGACTTGTTCAAGGAAATACTGGAGATACAGTATTCCATATTTTTCTTAATATTATTAATCCTAGGTTTAAAATAGTCTAACAAATGCACTATATACTTTTAGTTTGAGTGATGTTTGTTAAAAACTACAGTGCGCAGCTGGACTACAAAAATGACTTAGCCTTTTTTTAAAGTTTTCTTTGTAGCATGGATGTTGGAATGAATCAAGACATTTTTTCTTGTATTTAATGGTTACTGATTGATCTTCTATTTAATACATGCTATTTATTTAGTGTTTATATTGCCATTATTGTATTGCAATGGTGTAATATTGTCTTAACAAGTGGAGATGATTGCATTGACCATAATATGTACCGTATGGGTGTAAGGCAAAACATTTGTTGCTTATACTATTCAGTATCTATTTTTTCAAATGAACCCCAGGAAGACTAGTCGTTTCTGAGTTAGCAATGAATAGGGATCCAAATAAAAAACACCTAAACTGCAGAAGCACCTGAATGTAGATGTGTTTAAATTCTGTTTCCTCAGGAAAGCAGCACACTAAGGAAAGCAGAAAATATATAAGTTCTGGAATATAGATTTGAATATAATAAACACTTTATAATCCTCACACTCTGTAGTTCCTCTTATAGTTGACCTACACAATTAAAAATAGAATACGAGATGAAATAACATAAATAAACCCACTGAGGTCCAGCATTGAGGAAGGGTAGTTGCAGGCTCCGTTGTAGGCGATCAGATTGATCTCCCTCTGTCTCTGCTGCTGTTGGATCCTCAGCTTTGCCCGGCGGTGGCGGTAAGCACAGAAACAGCTGAAGAGGATCAGCATCGTCCACAGTAGCCAGAACCCTGCAGAGAACCAACACCATTATTTATGAAAATAAAAGTTTTGTTCTGTTGTATAAATTACATCTCAGATCGACTTACATCGATTACCTAGAGGCATAGACTGTTTTTAAATGACAATGGTGGTTTTGGAGATTGTGTCCCATTACAGACAAATCCTTTACCTTTCCCATTATTCTGTCCATTTTTCCAAAGCATTCTGTGATATTTTAGATTTATTTCTTAGCTTTGTTGGCATTCATTTGACCATGATAATCAACACTCTTTTCACTATTTAAGGAAACAAATTAATTTGAGTAAAGAATTTGCTGCTTTTATTTTTAACCAATCGGTATGAATATTTTGAAAATTCAAAAGTATAATGGTTGGCACATTCAAGGAGAACTAATGAATGCAGTGATTTTTAGTGGCCCACACTGTAGGGGTAAAGGATAAATCCCTTGATGTCAATGTAATTAATTACTTAGCCTCTTATATATACATTGAACATTTACTGATAAAGTTAAGGGTTGTGATCTGACCAAGAAAAACGTATAGTTTCAGATGTCATTCTCAGGTGAATATTAAGATCTAACAATCAGCATTGCAACATGCAGCCTGTTGTTTGGTGCCTCCAATGAAAGGTAATGCAGGGAGAAGGGAAAATATAGGCGATATAGGTCCATTACCTACACCTAAATATTATAGTGTAAACTCTTTTTTTTCAATTATGTAAATGAAATCAGACCTTTGTGTCCAGATGTTTCACTTAATGCATAATAAATGTGACATTGCAGCGTTAGCCTCAGGAACTTGTCTACTGTAACACAATGGAAAAGATGTCCGTCAGGTGACTCACACCAGAGTTCATAATAGTAGGTGCAGCAGCCCGTCTCTCCGCAGCAGTGCCCCGTTTCACACAGGTAACCTGGATTGTTGTTTACCCCAGGACAGTACTTCGGACTGACAACAGGCTGGCTACCAGAACCCCCGTGATGCTTCACCACCTAGTGGACAGAACACAGCATTACATATCACCACTGTGAAAATAATGTTACTGCAAAGATGAAGTCGTCATGGCTATTTTTGTGGTATTCCCTTTGGCAGGCGACAGCATGAGCGTGAGAGTTACGTATCAGCTAAGCGCCACTCGTTATTGTTTTCAGAGCTTTTTCGCAAATGATCCAACTCCACGACAACTGAGCAAACTCCTCTGATGATGAAAACTACGAGAGGTAGATGAAAGCTCACTTCACAATCACTCCTCATTTCAAAAAGATCCTAAACAACTTCTCTTGATGGAGTACAACACTATGTAAATGAAGTATCATACAATGTATGAAAGCAGAGCAAAATATGTTTGTTTTTATTTATCTGTATTGATCTTTTTATCTTTATGATTTGTACTCTTGTCTTTCTTTTAGATACTTGAAAAATAAAGTCTGTTTGCAAATTTGTTGGGTGTGTGTTTCTGTATACTACTGTATATAGTCTTATATTTATGTTGATTATACTTATATTTTGTTCATAGATAAAGCATTTTATGAGTTTACATGTTACGACGTGCTATATAAATAAAATTGCCATTACCAACTCCTGCGGGAGATATCTGGCTCTAGCTGGTAAATGCTCCGCTACATTCACCAGCTAGTCCGTCTATCTGCTGGTTGGGGCTGTGCTGGTAGTGAACAGCAGTATATGAGCCGGAGTCTTCAAATATTGATTAGTTCAGCTTTCAGATTATTCTGTGAGATGATAGTATAGTTTGTTGGCAGCTACAGGTCAATGTTAAATTAAAAAGAAAACCTCACACCTTATTAATTGTGCGCATGTCAGCCTCCTTCTGAGAAACAGCCACATGAAATGAGAAATGAAAGGACCTCTGTGAATTTTACAGTTGAATCTCTCCCTCGCACTGACGTGCTGATGATTAAGATGCAAGTGAAGAACTAATCACAGATATTAACATCAGAAAAAGCCGGCAAATTTCAATGCTTGGGGAGAAAAATCTTAATGAGCTCAGACACTTCAGCAAATCCATAAACTACAATAACAATGCAGCAAGAAGAGATTTCTGTTATGTACATAGTTACCACACATGAGACTGAGAAGTGCTAAAAAATAATTATGCATTGCCATAGCAACCACTGTGGTTACGCTTGGAGTTTTTTAGTTTTTTTTATACTCGTGTGGACAATGTTTTATACTATCCCGTGGTATGAAATGTGTAGTGGTGGTTGAAGGTCGAGCTCCGTACCGTAGCAGCTTCAGTCCCATCCAGCCCCTGCAGGGATATGGTCATCTAGTAAAAGACAGAGATGTACAATAACTAAGAAGGAGCAGTAGAGAGAGAAATGATATTATGTTAATGGAAGAAAAAAAAAACAAAGGATCGGCACAACATGTTTAAATCTGACAAGGGCACATGCTTCACAAGAAACTAATTATACTGTGCTGTCATTCAAGTAATCAAGCATGACAAAAAAAGGCCACTAAACACATTTTCCAGTCTGATGACGCTGGTTACCCTCCTGGCTCTTCAAGGAGCCGGGAAGGTCAACGGCTTTTTAACAAAAGCTATTTCTCATCTCCAGATAGAAGACAGAAGGCACCAATTCCCCGACACTCTGCCTTTACCTTTTCTCATTTCTTCCAAACTCACACATGCATACAAAAGGTACACCTCTAAAACTGTATGACCTAAATTAACAAGTAACCGTTTAGTATATAAAATTTCGGGGGGGACAAAAAGAAAGAAACACCCAACATGCATTCAAAAAGCCCAAAGTGACACGTTCCAATTGTTTGTTTAGTCTCACCAACAGTCGAAAACCCAAAGATATTAATTTTACAATTACGTAAAAGTGAGTAAAAGAGAGCACACACACACACACACACACACAAAGTATTCAGACCTCTTTAAATTTTTCACTCTGTTTCATTGCAGCCATTTGCTAAAATCAAAAAAGGTCATTTTATTTCTCATTAATGTACACTCAGCACCCCATCTTGACAGAAAAAAAAACAGAAATGTATAAATTTTTGCAAATTTATTAAAAAAGAAAAACTGAAATATCACATGGTCATAAGTATTCAGACCCTTTGCTCAGTATTGAGTAGAAGCACCCTTTTGAGCTAGTACAGCCATGAGTCTTCTTGGGAATGATGCAACAAGTTTTTCACACCTGGATTTGGGGGAAAATAATGTTACTGCAAAGATGAAGTCGTCATGGCTATTTCTGTGGTATTCCCTTTGGCAGGCGACAGCATGAGCGTGAGAGTTACGTATCAGCTAAGCGCCACTCGTTATTGTTTTCAGAGCTTTTTCGCAAATGATCCACCTCCACGACAACTGAGCAAACTCCTCTGATGATGAACACTACAAGAGGTAGATGAAAGCTCACTTCACAATCACTCCTCATTTCAAAAAGATCCTAAACAACTTCTCTTGATGGAGTACAACACTATGTAAATGAAGTATCATACAATGTATGAAAGCAGAACAAAATATGTTGTTTGTTTTTGTATTTATTTATCTGTATTGATCTTTTTATCTTTAGGATTTGTACTCGTCTTTCTTTTAGATACTTGAAAAATAAAGTCTGTTTGCAAATTTGTTGGGTGTGTGTTTCTGTATACTACTGTATATAGTCTTATATTTATGTTGATTATACTTATATTTTGTTCATAGATATAAAGCATTTTATGAGTTTACATGTTACGACGTGCTATATAAATAAAATTGCCATTACCAACTCCTGCGGGAGATATCTGGCTCTAGCTGGTAAATGCTCCGCTACATTCACCAGCTAGTCCGTCTATCTGCTGGTTGGGGCTGTGCTGGTAGTGAACAGCAGTATATGAGCCGGAGTCTTCAAATATTGATTCGTTCAGCTTTCAGATTATTTTGTGAGATGATAGTATAGTTTGTTGGCAGCTACAGGTCAATGTTAAATTAAAAAGAAAACCTCACACCTTATTAATTGTGAGCATGTCTGCCTCCTTCTGAGAAACAGCCACCTGAAATGAGAAATGAAAGGACCTCTGTGAATTTTACAGTTGAATCTCTCCCTCGCACTGACTTGCTGATGATTAAGATGCAAGTGAAGAACTAATCACAGATATTAACATCAGAAAAAGCCGGCAAATTTCAATGCTTGGGGAGAAAAATCTTAATGAGCTCAGACACTTCAGCAAATCCATAAACTACAATAACAATGCAGCAAGAAGAGATTTCTGTTATGTACATAGTTACCACACATGAGACTGAGAAGTGCTAAAAAATAATTATGCATGGCCATAGCAACCACTGTGGTTACGCTTGGAGTTTTTTAGTTTTTTTTATACTCGTGTGGACAATGTTTTATACTATCCAGTGGTATGAAATGTGTAGTGGTGGTTGAAGGTCGAGCTCCGTACCGTAGCAGCTTCAGTCCCATCCAGCCCCTGCAGGGATATGGTCATCTAGTAAAAGACAGAGATGTACAATAACTAAGAAGGAGCAGTAGAGAGAGAAATGATATTATGTTAATTGAAAGAAAAAAAACAAAGGATCGGCACAACATGTTTAAATCTGACAAGGGCACATGCTTCACAAGAAACTAAATTATACTGTGCTGTCATTCAAGTAATCAAGCATGACAAAAAAGGCCACTAAACACATTTTCCAGTCTGATGACGCTGGTTACCCTCCTGGCTCTTCAAGGAGCCGGGAAGGTCAACGGCTTTTTAACAAAAGCTATTTCTCATCTCCAGATAGAAGACAGAAGGCACCAATTCCCCGACACTCTGCCTTTACCTTTTCTCATTTCTTCCAAACTCACACATGCATACAAAAGGTACACCTCTAAAACTGTGATGACCTAAATTAACAAGTAACTGTTTAGTTTATAAAATTTCGGGGGGGACAAAAAGAAAGAAACACCCAACATGCATTCAAAAAGCCCAAAGTGACACGTTCCGATTGTTTGTTTAGTCTCACCAACAGTCGAAAACCCAAAGATATTAATTTTACAATTACGTAAAAGAAAGTAAAACAGAGCTCTCACACACACACACACACACACACACACACACACACACACACACACACACACACACACACGTTTCATTGCAGCCATTTGCTATAATCAAAAAAGTTAATTTTATTTCTCATTAATGTACACTCAGCACCCCATCTTGACAGAAAAAACAGAAATGTATAAATTTTTGCAAATTTATTAAAAAAGAAAAACTGAAATATCACATGGTCAAGTATTCAGACCCTTTGCTCAGTATTGAGTAGAAGCACCCTTTTGAGCTAGTACAGCCATGAGTCTTCTTGGGAATGATGCAACAAGTTTTTCACACCTGGATTTGGGGATCCTCTGCCATTCTTCCTTGCAGATCCTCTCCAGTTCCGTCAGGTTGGATGGTGAACAGCCATTTTCAGGTCTCTCCAGAGATGCTGAATTGGGTTTAGGTCAGGGCTCTGGCTGGGCCAGTCAAGAATGGTCACAGAGTTGTTCTGAAGCCACTCCTTTGTTATTTTAGCTGTGTGCTTAGGGTCATTGTTTTGTTGGAAGGTGAACCTTCGGCCCAGTCTGAGGTCCGGAGCACTCTGGAAGAGGTTTTCTTCCAGGATATCTCTGTACTTGGCCGCATTCATCTTTCCTTCAATTGCAACCAGTCGTCCTGTCCCTGCAGCTGAAAAACACCCCCATAGCATGATGCTGCCACCACCATGTTTCACTGTTGGGATTGTATTGGGCAGGTGATGAGCAGTTCCTGGTTTTCTCCACACACACCGATTAGAATTAACGCCAAAAAGTTCAATCTTGGTCTCATCAGACCAGAGAATCTTATTTCTCATAGTCTGGGAGTCATTCATGTGTTTTTTGGCAAACTCTATGCGGGCTTTCATATGTCTTGCACTGAGGAGAGGCTTCCGTCGGGCCACTCTGCCATAAAGCCCAGACTGGTGGAGGGCTGCAGTGATAGTTGACTTTGTGGAACTTTCTCCCATCTCCCTACTGCATCTCTGCAGCTCAGCCACAGTGATCTTTGGGTTCTTCTTTACCTCTCTCACCAAGGCTCTTCTTCCACGATTGCTCAGTTTGGCTGGACGGCCAGGTCTAGGAAGAGTTCTGGTCGTCCCAAACTTCTTCCATTTAAGGATTATGGAGGCCACTGTGCTCTTTGGAACCTTGAGTGCTGCAGAAATTCTTTTGTAACCTTGGCCAGATCTGTGCCTTGCCACAATTCTGTCTCTGAGCTCCTTGGGCAGTTCCTTCGACCTCATGATTCTCATTTGCTCTGACATGCACTGTGAGCTGTAAGGTCTTATATAGACAGGTGTGTGCCTTTCCTAATCAAGTCCAATCAGTTTAATTAAACACAGCTGGACTCCAATGAAGGAGTAGAACCATCTCAAGGAGGATCAGAAGAAATGGACAGCGTGTGAGTTAAATATGAGTGTCACAGCAAAGGGTCTGAATACTTATGACCATGTGATATTTCAGTTTTTCTTTTTTAATAAATTTGCAAAAATTTCTACATTTCTGTTTTTTTCTGTCAAGATGCGGTGCTGAGTGTACATTAATGAGAAATAAAATTAACTTTTTTGATTTTAGCAAATGGCTGCAATGAAACAAAGAGTGAAAAATTTAAAGGGGTCTGAATACTTTCCGTACCCACTGTATATAACTAAAACATCTGGTCATTTTAAAAGAACATCAATTATCCTCAAGGGATTATTTTGAGAAGTGTAGCATCTCAACAGGCAATGACACCTACAACAACCACACAGGCTGACCTACCTATAAGGATGAGTGCGAGCAAATAGGCCCCATTAGTAAACGATCATGTAATGATTTAGGTCCACATATGACAGAGTAGAAATAATTATGTACGGTTACGCTACTCAATGCAATTCTGTTACGGTCCAGATTTTATAATTCTGTGTGTCGCTCACGCCTCTGTAAATGTCATTCAGACCCACTGTGAGGAAAAGGAAAATATGCCTGTGTGTGTGTGCTGCTGGATGAGGCCACTGTCAAAAACAATGTGGAGACACTGGGGGGCTGTAGCCATGTAAATGAGACCTCTTTTGTTAACAACTGGCTGCTGGTTATATGGACAACGTTGGCTGCAGTGTGTGTGTGTGTGTGTGTGTGTGTGTGTGTGTGTGTGTGTGTGTGTGTGTGTGTGTGTACATGCATACACGCAGCTATGTTCAGGTCCAGGTAATTACAACTACTGTCAATTTTTAACAAAGTAACAAATGACAATGAGCAGCAAAAATGTAACAAGCAGCTAACTCCACACACTGCCTTGAGGCTGTACGAAGGACAATAACAGCTGTCAGTTAGCGTAGAGATACTCATATTTACTACAGTATACAACTGTGCATAGCATACGCTTCTTCAACACCTGATGCAGCCACAGGTTTATCAATATTGCATTACGCAACATTACATGACACTTTGGTGGAAGAGCCATGTCTAACCAAGGACGTACTGGCTGAGCATTGAACAAACTAATTAGGTTCCTGCCAAAAAGTGATCCGGTGGCGACGCTACAGTATGTGGCCATGAACACATGATTAACACAGGCATTTTTCAATACTAGTGCGGATACAATACTTAAGTTTTGGTACCATTGCAATATTTTTTATATCTTACTTTGAAAAAATGCACGTTTTTTTTACAAAACATTTTATTAGGCTTATTTAATAAAAGAAGTCAAAGCGCTTGAATCCGTTTTTACAACCGGACTTGAACTTTGAAATATTCTAAAACCAGCCAAATTATGATTTAAATCAGAAACTATTTGATCAAAGAATAAGTAGAGCACACATTTGAGCAGACATGCCAGCTTTGGGTACAATGATATTTTTATTCCCCTGTGCTACGGACAAGTTTTGTTATACCAGAAAAGTATCTGGAGGAGTCCTGGTTTATCAGGGACGTTCCTACTGACAATAAACTGTTTGCTTGAAGATTCTAAATAATTTAATGTTTGCTATTTTTCATCTACTTCATTATATATATGAATAAGATATTTTTAAAAACTGTGTTTGTTTCTGATACGGGAAGACCCCTAAATATTGTGCCACAACAAAAACCCAACAGAAAAGTCATGCTGCGTATCCAACTGTCAAATATAACCTCAGGTGGTTCATAAGTTAGCTTTTATACTGTTATGAAAGTCAGTCGAGAGCGTTTTCAAGAGGGAGCTGAGTTCCTGTGGTAAGCCCACCACACGGCAGAGTACACGCACATGGGTGTGAAGTGATCATTCAGACTTCCCCAGAGACCACAGACTAACCACAAACGATTCCCACCCCTGGGGTCCTACGGTTCTCAATAGCATGACAGCAAACACACACCTTCACTAACTCCATCCTAGATTACATGGACTTACATACACTGTCGTTGTCTGATTGAATTTAAAAAAAGACAAATACTTTTTTGCTACACAAAAGAAAAGATCCCGGCACATAAAGACAGACACTAGATCTTTATATGGAGACCAATGTCTTTACCAAAATAAAAATCAAATGCCAAGAACTTGACACACTCTTAAACCAAAAAAAATGTACTATGGAAAAAAATTATAATAATTATGCCAATAAAGGAAATTTGAACTTGACAATTTGATTTGAAAACATAATTTTCTCTCCTCACAAGACTTTCACCTTTTAGTGCCGGAGGGTTCGTGGTCAATTTTATTTTACATGTCACAATGACTAGCTGAACGTAGATGTATGTCTCTTTCAAATACTTTCAAATAGATTGAAGCCAATGTAGTTTTCACTGTGCCATTATCAATACAGGTGTATGAGCCTAAATATTTACTGGCAACAACAACAGACTTGAAAGACACATCATCCTCAGTGTCCTGAATCAGCAGTATGGTGTTCTCCTGCTGGACAAGCACACGTACGTTCGATTTATTAGGCTATAAGGGTCTGGCAGTTAAAGCTCTTTAAATCATGCTTGCATAAATTAAAGTTAAATCTTTGGCGCATTACGACACATTTCGTTAGCTACTTTGCTTGAAACCAGGAATCAACTTAAAATCTGCAGTTTTAGCAACACAAGTCAACAAGTCGCAAACTACTACTGATATTAATACTATATAACATTCCTTTAGTATTTAGTTAACTGTATGTCTGTGGTACCCTCTCAATTTAGAATTAACCTAACAGTACATTGTTTTATATTTGTCACATATTCCCATAATACTCGGGACATGTTGTTGTGCATTAGAGGGCCCATGCTTCTGAAACTTATCATCAACTGTTGTGCATTAACAACATCATCACAGACAGAAATGCCGTTGACCACAAACAATCACAATAGAAACCATACCTGACTGACTTTACTGCAAGCAACAACATTTGCTGTAATGATGCAATAAATGCACCGTTTGTCCTCGAGAAATATGTCAAAAGGAAAAAGATACAACAACTCAAGATGAAGGAATGAAAAGACAGATGGGTACCGAACAAGTTGAGGCCACCGTTTGTCAACAACAACAACGCAGACCAAGGAAAGCATGTTGCTCTGCAGAATAAGTAAAGGAAAGCCGTGCAGTGCATTACCTCCTCAGCCTTCAGCCCGAGGCAGAATGTCAACGTTTTCTCTGGATCCATGGCGAGAGATGAATACCAAGCTAAACAGAGAAAATGTACATGCAGAAGTCGGGATGTTATTCTGCTAAGCCCCCATCACTGCTGTCCCACTCCACACGCATCCGCCATTGCCCCCGGACGGACGGACGGATGCCCCTCCCAGACTCCGCAGCACTCTCCGGAGTCCCAGGGCCAGATTTCCGGTGTATTTTATGGATGGGACCGCGGGGTATCGCCGTGCAGACGATGCAGACGTCGACCGCAGCGTGCAGTAGTGCAATAAATACGTTTTACTCTTTGTGTTCGCAGTGAGGGTCGGAGCTGTGCATGATGTCATGCTTCTCCAGCCCCTAAAGTACTTGTATGGGAGCGCTGCGGCTTTGATTGGCCGGAGCTCCCAGCAACAGCCGCACAGAGGCTGCCTCGGCGTGGCTCTACTCACACACTTGCTCGACTGTTGCTTTATTAACTACGGCCGAGCATGAAACCGAAACACCAGGTGCGTTTTTGCAATTGTAGCGAAACAGAGCCATGATATTTGAAATATATAGTTGCACACAAAGGTTACCTAATACAAAATACAATCACTGATGATTGGTATGAGCCGGACATTGCTATACAGGCCTACTCTAGAAATGTTGTGCAAATATTAACCTAAACGTATATATACAACCTAAACATTAATTTTAAATGTAAATCCAGGTTACGTTAGATTTCTTAGTTAGGTAAAATGGCACGTTAAAATACATTAAAATACTTAATTACTCCACTACAAGTAAAACCTAAAGTAAACAAGAAGAGACGTGTGAAATGTAAAGAACGTAGTATATTATTAAGAATGGTGTCTTTACAGTTTTTAATCATAACGTTCGTTTCATTATGTGAAAATCAGTATCATTAAGTGGTGACGTTAACTTTAGGTCTGAACTTATGAACTGCATTGTTTATGTGAACATCTTGAATCAGCATCAAACTTATTTATTTTAAACTGTTTATAAAATTAACCTTTCTTTCTTCCCTCTTTTTATGTTCGCCTATACAGTATTTTGAACACATTTTTTGAGAACTAGTATATTCGCAGATAATAAACACTGTACAGGAGGTGTCACAGGTATTTTCACAAAAATAAAAAAAATCCACCATTCAATTTTAGTAAAAGTTCAGAGTTCAAAATGTAATCTAATCAAAGTATCAAAAGTATTTGTATAGTACTTGTTATGCATAATGACCCCTAACAGAGTTTTATATTATTATATATCATAGAGCATGTTGATGTTGCTGCAAGATCATTATTGTTTTTTAGTAAAAATTGTATCTGTAAAGTACAGTATCCCAGCCTATAGAGTCAATAGTGTACTATTTCACAATGAGATGAAGTAGACTAAAAGTAGAAAATCAAGATGAGTAAAGAACAGAAACCTCAAAAGTTAAGAAGCCGAAATGTACTTAATTACATTCCACTGCTGTACTTTAGTATTATATGTCATTTTTTGTTTGGCTTTGTCCAAGCCTGTATGTGTTCATGAATCATAATTTCATTTTACAAGTTTTTGTAGTTGTTGCTGTCATGACCAGGACCATTGTAAACTGGTTAATTTAAAGGAGACATTCCTGGCAAAATAATACTAGTATAAAATCAATACATTAGTTAGGCATATTCAGATATACAGGTGTAATACTTTTTTATTTTGGTAGTGTGTAGTGGAAATGGTTTAAGGAGGCGATCAGTTTTCATATAATATTGACTGTCATGTGTCTTGATCCACATCATTGCCAAAACCTGCTGGTATGTCAATGACAGTTTGTTTCTGTCAGGCACTAGAGGGCAGCAGACTACAGGCTTTTGCTTTTTTTAATAGTTTACTGCACTTGGGCTCTGAGGTTGGTTACATGACCCGGAGTAGAAAAATAAAACTGCAGCTCAGTAAGACAAACAGTTAAAGTTGTTGAAGTTAAAGAAGTGTTCACGTGTCCTCCTCTCTCTCTTGACACAAAAGGGGAACAAGGAACTGAAACTATTTCCACCGCCCCACCTATTGTCTTCCCCATATGTCATACCTGTGGTTGAAAATCCTCACTATGAAATACAAGTTTGAGCTCTTCGCCACCGTTGTGCATTTGAGTGTAAACCCTTTGTACCACCTGGATTACAATTAGCACAAATGAACAGGGTGTGTTAGCCCCTTAGAGGTACTGTGTTAAAGCAGCTGTGGTTGTTAATTAGTTGGTAACCACAACAAGTTCCATACCATGTCAATGAGACACATGCAGACAGGAATTTATAAAGAGTCATCATTCTCAACTGATGGTCTCTCTACACTAAAAAGCAAAGGACTCAAATGGGAGCAGGATAGCAAGAAAGCTGAGACAGATGAAACAAGTCTGTAAAACAAAAACTAAAAGGAGATCAAATACATTTATATAATCTTATAGCTTTTCAATACTCGTACAATTAGATTTGTGTGCTAATACAATAAAATAGATCAATATTTTTTTCTTGTGAGAAATAAGAGACGAATTTTGAAAATCTTGGATACCTAAACTTCTCAAAACTTTCCCCACATGAGTTAATACTGTACCCGGATTTACTGGAATTTTCCTCTGTATTAAAAAGGAGATGTTTGGTCACCACCTAATAACACAATGTGACAAAACACACTTCCCTTCACTCCTCTTAGCACACGCATGTGTACTCCAACACACAGGCACACACATACACACACAAACAACAAAGCCATAATAAAAGTAAATGGGTGGGTGAAGTTATGTTTCAATTTTAGTGAATAAATGAACCTTGCTGGTATATGAATTGAATTACAGCGTGCAATAAGTCTTCTAAATTAAGAACTATTTCATTCAGACCAGCTAGAGGTATATCAGAAATTTCTGTCACACAAGGCTTGTCAATGTGGAAAAGCGAGAATTCATAAACCTTTGTTAGAAACAGGAACTCTTGGGAGTACGTATACACAAGAAGAGCAGACACATTTAAAATTATTGAGAGGAGAGTCAAAATGAAACTCATTTTAGCTTTTGTTTTCCTTTCTATGGTGAGGTCAAACATGTGATTTACTCCTGCTAATTACTTTATGATCATCATTTCCTGGCACAGGGTGATTTATTTATTTTAGTGTCAGGAGCTGAAATGAATTTATGGACATATTTACTGTAGGTGTACAATACAACAAATATTAGTTTGTTCCCTATTCATTCCAACTTCTGATGAAATCTCAATTGCAGAATCAACATTGTAGGTGCTTGTACAGAAATTTCCACTGTCAAATGTACAGCTGACAATCACGTCTTTAACAGCACACACAATGGATGCTTTATGACAGCATGGGGGATGACACAACATGCAGCCCGGTCCCAAAATCAGGAGATCACACTAAAGACTTTGACACAGTTGTCAAAAATAAAGCCCTTATACTAAGGTAAGGCATGTTTTCTTGAGGCTACATGGTTGCTTTGTTATTTTGAAACCTGCCCATCAAATAGCAACTTATACATTTTCCCAATGATGTTACTCTGGAAAGCTGATGGGGAAAAGCACAAATCATGCAACTTTAAACTTCCTTTTTCTCTCTAAATGCCCAACAGAAAGTCTGCAAATGAACCACCAAAGCTTAATAATTTGCTAATGCTGGGAAATGCAAAGTGATAGTGTGCTGCAACAACATGCATCTGCTTGCACTTACCACATTGTCAAGTCACATCCTGTGCCTCGTGGACATGTGACATTTAAAAATGCCACTGTAAATGACAACACAGTGCACGAGGATGGGTCCCTGAAGGGGGGAGAAAAATTCCACATCTTGAGGAGCACCAAGCTTTATGCTTACCTGCATGTTAAATTACCGCCACATATGTTCAGCTTTTTCTCTGTGTGCCTGTGATAAAATGTTCATGTCAGAAACCCTAATATTTGAGTTTCATGCAAGCAACCCTAACCTCCTATTCTCTTTATGTTGCGTCTCCCTGGGCCCTTTTGAAGGCCCTAATTTGCACTGCATTTGACTCGATACTCGAAAATATGCAAAGCCACAGGTTATTTAGTTACTGAGATGGCTAAGCAAAGATCTACAGATAAAAGTCAGTCAGTGCTAAAGTTCAAAACAGTAAGACAATTTTATTGTAAAAAGAAAAAACAATTCAACATCTCCTGTTCTTGTTTTTCTATGCAATATGCCAAAAAAAACGTTTTCTAAATCAGCTTCTTCTTATTAGAAACAAGGTCCTACATGAATACAAACAATATCTTCTGCCTAACTTAAAACAATAATGGTCTTTACATGAGGTGTCTCTATTTCTGTATTTGCCTGTCTTCCTCTTACTGTTTTGAAGTGGAGTAACCAGAGATGATGTCACACATATCTAAGCACCAATCAGAATTTAACAATATAGGAATAAGGCCATCTTGTGAAATACTGTATAGATATACCTCTTCCAATCTAAAACCATTCAAATTAAAACCACCTATGACAGTTCACTATACTATACATGTTGACCACTCCATGTCCATAATCTCTGATGGAGGGTCATACTTTGTTTTGTCACAAGCCAAAATGGATGGGAACCCCTGCCCGATATAATAGACGCTTAATAGTTATATGTTGTGAGCAGTAAATTGAGATTTCCAACACATTTGAATGTTCATGTCTTCACTGAATGACGTAGCTGTTGCATGCCTGTCATGACATTGCTATACATTGTGACAGTGTAAACAAAAAGTAGTTTGTAACATTGACATTTCGGACATGACGTAGCAATCAGAGTCTGACTATTTTGTTTAGGTTTGTTGTCTATGTTGCCAGGGAGATGCCGCTGTCAATCAAATAACCACACCCACACGGTCATGATGAGCAGATCTTTTGAGTGCTAATCTGGCTGCAAACATTTGTCATTATGAGCCGCGATGCAGCCCTACACCAACCACACGCAAACCAAATGCAAAAAAACAAACAGAACTAATAAATTGGCCTATATGTCAATACACAGACACAGCAGGCCCTACTGCTTACACAGCATTATACTTTATGACGCGTCCTCGTCTCGTCTCATGTGAGGAGACATCATGCGATATTCAGTGGGAGATGTGTTTTTGCTGAGGTGTGCCCAATCTATGTGCGGTATTTGGTTCCACAGAGGCACAGCAGTTGTATTAATGTGAGTCACTATCTATTGGAAAGAGAGCACACCCTGACTCTGCTAAATAATGAGCTGGCAGTAAGGATCTGCTGTTTGGGCACAAATGTCTCACAGACACAAACAGCTTCCTGATCTAACATTTTTCTACCCTAAGTTGTCCTCTTTTTTTTTCGTATGAAAGTACTGTTTCCATGTGACAACGGTT